GATGCGAAAGTCTATCAGGATGTATATTCAGTCATCAATAGTTATAACAGCTCTAAGCACTACTAGCCGTCAAATCTTTACTGGCCCCTTTGTACAATACCTGCCCCAAAACAAGCTTAAATTTCCATCTTTACTTCCTCTTAATACAAAAAAAGCTTTTCTCTTGTTACCCTGTTGGCCAATAATCTAATCTCTTTGAAAATAGAGCCAATTCTTAATATATTCCTAAAAGGGTTAGTATAAGTGGAGTCAGAGTGCTCAAGTAAAGGCATAGGATTGGCAAAGCTGATGCTAAGTCAATTACTATACTTTCATCCCTGATAAATAATAACTTCATAACATGCTAAGAAGTTTTGAAAACCAGGAAAATAAAATGAACATCCTCAAATAATGACTGAACAACTAAATGAAAGATGCTGCACAAAAATGCGATCATCCTCTCAGAGTGAAAATTAGCACGTGAATGCTTAAGACCTGTGATTTTGAAACACCAACATGTGGTAAACATTCTTAAACTGATTCCCTCTTTTGTTCACTTATGCAAATCACTGTCTGATAGTTTTCACCTTTTACTTTCCATGGAACTTTGGGCAACAAATCCACAAATCCAAGCCTAGACAGATTACAGATGACACAAACTCTAATATATAAATCACGTGAGTGAACACATTTCTTCTTCTTCTTCTTTCGGTTGGTAGAAGATCCACATTTAAATAAGCCACAGACAAAATCTTAGTAGCACAAGCACCCTAGACTAACGTTTTAGCATTCAAGCTACTTAGTTGGATAAAAGCAAATGCCAACCGGAACCATTAATCACGTTCAGAATCTATGCCTTGTAAAGACTATTTTTTTTTCCCAAGCTGTGCGATGTGGCCAATTATGCATATCTTCTGATTCTATACAACCAGGGGTTAGCACTAAATACATAGTACTTTGGTACAGCCAAAACAGGGGGGAAAAAAAGAAGCCACCTTGGCTCCAAATTTCGTCATTTGTGGGCCAAAGTACCATAATCAGCAAATTTCCCCCAGATTCAAAGCTTTGAAATTAGGAAAGCAAATAACCAGCCCCATGGAATAAAGAAAAGAAAAGCTCAGAAGCCCTCTTGCAGAGAAAGCAAGCACAAATTCGGTGGGAATCGCTCGGAAATAACAGTCTAATACAGCGAGAGACAAAATATAGATATAAAAAAACAAAGTCAACCCGAATAACCAAAGAAATCAAGAGTGCCAAAATCCGCTATCAGAAGCAATTCAAGAGTGCGAAAAATCAAAACCCATAAATTTAGAGCAGTAAACTGGACAGCAGTGAAAGCTAAGCAGGCATAATCGTGACAGTAAATCTGATCAAACGGACAAAGAAAATAATAGTAAAAAATAAATAAATAAGGAATCTTGAGAGCAGAAATAAGAACGTAAAAAGAGGGGGAAGAGAATCTTACATGGAGAGGGGAGTTAGGAAGGAAGGAAGGAGGGCACTGAGAGGTGAGGGCGTGAAGACTGGAAAATGGTCGAGAATGGGAAGCAGCAGGGCAGACAGGATGCGATGAAGAAGATGCAAGGGGGGTTGGAACCCAAGAAAGCAAACAGATGGAGCAGATGATCAATCTCAAACGTCCCATCTTCATCGATTTCACCAACACCACCACCACCACCAAGGAACAGAAGGAGAAGAAGAAGATAGATGACAGATGATGAGAAAAAACAGAAAAAAAAAAAAAACCAAAAATAGAGGTGGAACCTGAGAGAGACAAATTTTGGGCAGTTGGTCTGTATATGGAGAAAGAAAAGACCACGATAACAACTCCTTCCTCTCTCTCTCTCTCTCTCTCTCTCTCTCTAAAACTCTAGAAAAATACTACTACGACTTTGACAACTTACACGTTTTCTCACGCTCCATTTTTGAAAGAAATTACTACTCTTCTAAATTCCATGATGATTCATTACTACGTTAATTAATACTCCACTTATATATTATATTGTCTCTAATCCGTACCTGTAGTTTTTTTTCTGTATTTTTATGGTTCATTGACCACATAAAAAAAAGAAATAAAAATAAAGTAGATCAGTCAATATGACTAGTATTTTTAGTAAATTACTAAATGTTAACGTAAAGTAGGACAAAGGTTGAGAATAATATCTTTCTTTTTTTGTTTATTAAAAGCGCAAAGGGTAATTTATATATAGCTAATAAGTGCTTCGAGATGACCGCTTTGGTTTGGTACGTCATGGCGGTGGTAGGTAGGCCTGTTAATTGGGTCTAATGAGCCGGGTTTTGATGAGTTCAAACTCAACTCATTTAATTTGAATTATTTTCGGATTTCGGACTATGAGTTTCGGGTTCGTAAATGTGAAACTCATACTCAACTCACATAATATTCGGGTTGTAAGCCTTAATCGGGTTTAGCCTAAGCTCACTTATTACTCCTTAATTTTCTTAATATAATTACTATAACTATTAATTTGTAAAACTAATTTAACATTTACAAGACTATAATATTAAAACTAAACATGAACAAATAATAGTTCTTAAAACGTATATAAACCAAAAATTTTTCAACAATATTTATATTTAATCCATTCAAAATGCATGAAAAATAGTAATAAAACATGCGATCATAAGCCAATACATCTTTAAAAGTTGAAACTTTTTTTATAATCTTGTGATTTAAATCCAAATATGCTTGATGATTTTTGTGTTTGTAGACCAAAAAAAAATCAACCAATATTATGCCAATACAAAAATTTACTCAACCAATAAGAAAAATTAGAGATTTAGTTATGCATTACCAATATTGGCTCTCAAGAAAGCTCATGAAAGAGTTTTTAGATGTATTTTTGTGTTTTGTAATTTATGTATATATTTAGTATTTAGTAATAATATATTTGGATATATAATTATATATAATATCAAAATATAAATATTATATATATAGGTAATTAAAAGGCCGGACCTATATCGGGTTTGAGCCTAATAAGATCCAAGCTCGGCTCACATTTAATTCGGACCTAATTTTTAGGCTCAGACTCAGATCGGTTCACTAAATGATCAGGTTTATCGGGCTTTTTGTCGGGCCGAGCGAGCAGAACTCGGGTTGGTCCAGCCCCATTTACAGTCCTAATGGTAGGCCGCGGGGCCTTTCCTACTCTCTACGCTTTACATTTTGACTTCACACCCCTATCCATCCGTCATCAGTTCATCACCTCAGATCTCCCCCCTCCCCCCTCTTTATTTTTTGGTACGAAATTTCCACCTGTTTTGGTACTACCATGATTTGGACTCTTCAAAAGTTAGGCAAATTCTTGAGTGCAGTCCAAAAACAAAATGCTAATAGGAGAATTAGGGCTGTCAATAACATCGAACTGGCCGAAAAGAAAAGGAATCGAGCATACGATAATGATATAATCCCTAGGTTAGACATAACTTGGATATAGATTTGAAATCCGATTAAAATATGATTCGAATTAGGATCTCTTTAGGCTCTACCCGATTAAAGCTAGACCCGTTAGTGTGTGTTAGTGTGTGTGTATATATAAAATTTATGCTTTGATATGTAAAATTAGATTTACACTCTAATGTATCTATCGATAAATGTATTGTTTTTAAATATGTAATGTATAATTAGACTATTAATAATCAGTATTGGTTTTGAAAAGACTTAAATTCATTAAATAAATATGCTTAAATATATTTAAATAAATAACTTATTCTTTGGAGTAAATTTTGCCCACACAATTCATACTCATTTAATTAATTAATTTTTGTTCTTTTATTATTATCAAACACTTTTAAATATGTTAAAATCTAAATCTATTAAATTTAAGTGCTGAATTAGATTATCAAATATGGCATAATTTACAACTGGATATTTTTGCATCAAGAGAGAAATAAGTGCTGGATTGAGTTATCAAATAGGGTCTAACTTATGATTGAATATTTTTGCATGAAGAGGGAAATGACAACATTTGAAGTGTCGTGGTGCGGAACCGAACTCTGTATGCACTTTTCAAAAAATATATTGTAATACATTTTTGAATAATATATGTGAGCTTAAAAGGTATTGACGATGTGAGGGGAAAAAATCCTTTTACAAATAATCCATTATCCAAACAAACACATGGACTACGATCGTTTTAGACGCATCTCCATCGTACTAAGTAATTCACAAACAATTCTCTCCAAACGAACCACCTCTTTTTTTATTTTTTCTTTTTTTTTGAGTAATATTGAGTTTGTTTGGATAGAGTATTATTTGGAATAATTACTCTAACATTTTTTATGATGTGATGTATGTGAGATAAAAGGGTAATTAACAATATAAAAAGTTGGGTTGGAAAATGTGTTTATGATGCCAACGAAATATTATTTAAAATAATCTGCTATCCAAACACTCCCATTATTTGCACTCCCTTTTTGTTATTTGCATTTCTCCTACTCTATTTTCATCTCGATGAGACCATATTATCCCTATTTTAATTTTTTCTCCTACCCTATATTGTGTTCATATGTAAAGAAGTTGGGCACAATTGTTATACTTGTCTAAAAGGTAAAGAAATTTAACTTTTGCTTCTCTTTTTTCTAAATCTACATAACTGTTTTTTAATTTGTTTTTTATATTTTATTTCAATTTCAATTTTGTAGATTTTTATACTCACAACTGAAGTTCCATTGCATCATCTGGACACTAGATGCTGTTATGCTTTTGTTGAAATATATTAGAAAGTTTCACTTCCACTATGGTGGTCATATGTGTGACGCCCCCACTTCTCCCTAAGGCGAACCAAAGGGTATCCGCGGGACGCCTGCCCAACTCTCGCCAGGACTCACTACAATCCATCATTCAAGAGCTCGAAATACTATAAGTAACTTCAATACATAATTAAAGTACTTCAAATATCTCACACTTACAATTATGTAACTTTCAAGCTTAAATACAACCCAACGGAAAAGGGTACAATAGCCATCCGTTATAATATAACTCAAAGTCTTCAAAAGAGAACAATCTAGTACTACTCACGAGCACCCTTGGTCTCTAACCCTGAAAAGAAGTCCACAACGTGGTATGAGCTACACAGCCCAGTGAGGTTCCAAAACACTCTAACAGTTCAAATAAATCAAGTAAGTTAGGCATATCATATGCATGGTTCAAGGTTACACAATGGCATGTTATCATGAGGTGATAATCATTGTACGGGTAATTTGAGACATTTATCATGGTATGAGACATTAGCATGTATAGTTCACGAGTGATGGGAGCTTATTACAGGCATAGCTCAGGATTTCATGTTGACATTTTAGCACGAAACAATCATCATGATACAAGGTAAACATATACTGTAGGATACGGTGTTCCAGTGGAACTCTGTCGGTCATCTGCACCTTATGACTTCCGATCCCCACGGTACGGTCTGGCCATCGCCTTATCCCTCCAGTGGTAATACTCGAGTATATCGAAACGGTTGTCCAAGGCTCCAACCTACCCGACCGAGCCCAGTCCTGGCTCGAGTAGGTCAGTAACCGAGGCAGGGCCCAAGTTCAGCTTATAGCTTACAACATGCACAGGTAACCAAGTAATTCGACAAAGATAAAATTCATTATTTGAATAGGTCGAGTGAGGTAAAGTACACACTCGCCTAACAATGATGGACAACTTCATATAACATGTGATTCATGATAATCAAGTAAGCAAGTAACCACATAGATTAGAAAACGGTAAGTAAACACGGTTAACAGTAAACGGTAAACGGTTAACGGTGGTAATTACGGTTAATTGGTAGACATATGTCATTTTAATAGGCCGCCATTGGCCGTTTTCCACTTTTACCACGTAAGAGTCGAGGAGATTCACTCCAACCGACTTATGCTGCCATAGCATAATTAATCATGTAAACACATCATGTATATATAGGCTCTCCAAGCATTTCATATCTAGCATTTCAAGTAATCACATAAATATGCTCTTTAAGCATTTCATATCGAATAGTTCAAATATACATACTTCAGGTATTTCATGTCGAGCAATTCAAGTAATGACCATGGGTTAAGCATGTCATAGACTTATTCCAATTACGTATTCCTATATGGAACACTCACCTATTGCAACAAGAGAGTAAATACTCAAACAAGTGTCTAGGCGTCCACTTCGAGTTCTTCTTGAAGGTCCCCTTGAGCGCCTGAGCAAAATAACCATTAACTATTATACACTATCACTTAGAACTCCTACTTATCAAAGAAGGTTGTACAATCTAAAGGGAATTCATGAATTGGGCCTTAATTATTAATAATCGAGGCTCAAGAGTAAAGTTTTAAAGTCTAAAGAGAGAGACTAATATTTTCCATGAAATCGAGTTCAAAATGTTCAATCGGTATCGAGAAAAGAAGGCAAGTTTCCAAAATCTCATTTTCTAAGAAATTGACAAATTTCAGCTTTGGGTGTCAATTTTAGAAAAATCGTATCTTGCGCTATGTATGTCCAAAATTGGGAAGCTTGATACCGTTGGAAACTTCTTCAAAAGCGGTAAAAGTTCCTAGAAGATACTTTTCCATGATTCCAAACAGAAGGTATTCAAAATTGACTCAAAGTTGCTGCTTGGGACCATTTAGACAGTTTCGGGGTTGGTTTTTGACCATCTTTGAAAATCCGGCAAAATTCACACAATACGAACTAACCTCCGAAATTTAGAACTCAATTAGATCTACAATCAAAGTTTAAAACGAAACAAACGGTACAAGAATTGAAGTTTTGAGCGCCAAGATATAGCAGCTCAAAGTTGGCTAAAAATTCCTCCTCGATCAAAAATTTCCAGATTTAAACATGAACTTTGGGACGTTGGTTGAACACTGAAACGGACTTGAAATGGCACCAAATTTGGCAGTATTATCCTACCATATAAGGGCTATTTCTCTACCAAATTTCGTAGGAAAATTCATTCATAAAGTTGGTTAACGAAATCACTAAAGTCTCAAGAAGTTCCTCGGCAAACCTGCCTTGGACTTCCGTTTTTCCATTTTCAAAACGTTTGGCCAATAAAACACCTCAAACACGGTTCATTTCAGTAGATAATGTCTAAGGTACATTTGATAGGTGATTTATACCAAGAAGCTTCAGAAAACAAGTCCCAAATCATTGTTAGTTACAAATCTGTCCAAATGGAAAATTCTATCACTGTAGCCGTTTCAAACTTTGGTCACAACTCACTCAATTCAACTTGGAATTGGGCGTGGTTGATGGCGTTGGAAAGCTCTCTCATAAATCTGAATTTTCTCAGAAGAAACCATTTTCAAATTCCATTCACAAACAGCTCGTTTTTGAGCATCAAGATACAAGTCCTGTCCTGTCTCCTGGAGAGAAACGAAACAGGACAGTGATTTTCAATCGAATGATGTGGCTCCCTCAAGTGGAACCAGAATGTGAAATTGGTACCAATGGAAAGCTGGGAATGTCTAGTTTCCAATGCCACAAACGGCACTTGATTTCGACATCGGACCAAAGAGTTATAGCCGATACAAAATAACTGCCTGGGCAATACGGGATTCATTTTCCAGTTTTGCTAACTTTGGAAATCAACTCATTTGACCAACCAAATCATGTTATTTTTCAATAAAATTTTGTACACACTCACACTAACATGTAAACAATATAATCAAGTCATTAGAACCTCAAAATTTTGCACAAAAATGGTCGGACAAGACAGGGGTAATATCGGAAACTTTTGCTTCTTGCACCCAATGAAGTTTCTATCAATTACACACCATTAATCCATCATTTTAACCACTAAACCAACAATATATCCACTATCAATCATCAAATCAGCAACAACCCAAGAGTGGGAGTTCATAGAGCCCACTTTCACATTTTTCCAACAATATCAAGTCATCTACTTACATGCAAGTACTTAGAGATGCATATCTACTACTATAAATCAAGTTTAAGGTGATGGATCATGTTATACCTTCTTAGTGTACTAGATCAGAATTTTTGGCCCTCAAAATGCTCCAAGAAACCGTGATTTCCGGCACCCTTTTGCAGCTCAAAATGATCTCCTAATGTTAAGCTAAGTGTGGTGCAAGTTTGGTTGAATTTGGAGATGATTTGGTGAGGTTTTTGTGAGAAGAAATTTTGAAACTTGGAGGTTGAGAGAGAGAGAGAGCTGGCCGGCTGTTTGAAGCTCAAGAGAGAGAGAGAGTGATCAGATTTTAGCTTCCAAGAGAAGACATTAACTTGTGGCCTCAAGTCACCCATTAGTCAACTCACATTAGGATGCGTTTGGCGCGATTAGGGCTCGATTTCTCGCGCGTTTGGTTCACCAGTGCACTAAACCTCTAATGCATTTATATTCATGTAGATAATATTCACTCTTAATTGTCCCAAAATAAGGGTCTAAAGTCCCTCAAATAAAGTCGCGCGTGTGAAAACGCGTACCGTCAATTTTTTACGCTATAACGCGAAACCTCCGGGAAATTCTTATAACGATAGTACTAATAATTATCACTTGAGTATTTAAACATTAAAATACCGAATTTAGGTCCATTGTACATGTCTCCAATATTCCAAACTTATTGTACTCTCAAGCGGATAAAATCTCCAAGCACTATTCACTATTTTTACTAAACGCGCTCCAGGAAATTAATTCGTGAAATGAGTTACTTTAAAAATATAACGAAGTTATATTACCATGTATTTAGGTCTAATAAGACTAGAAAATATTCCTCGAGGCAAATATCCAATTAAATAATTTATTAAGCCACAAATTAGGCTTAAAAATAATAGTTTTTACGAGTCCTCACAATATGAGCTATACTTAGTAGACTTTTTGAAGTATTAGTGTCCTATTTATGAGATATTATAATTTTACTCAATTATGGTCATCTTTGAAGCTTGAGATTTTTTATTTATATATTTATTTTGGAATTGAAATTTGAAATTTGTTCATATTACATTTTTAGATTGATCTTTGACATCATATAATTTCGTGAAGTTTTATAGAATAATTTTAATATATAGTGGAATAATTAATTGGTTTTAGAATGTAAAAAAAAAAATCTAGTAAAGTTAACTCATAGGTAAGGAGAATAAATTTGGGAGGAAGTAATATGGTCTTGTCAAAATAAAAACTAGATAGAGAGAATGCAAATAACACATGCAAATACTCTTTTTTTTCATTTGATAGTAGGGATAATTGCAGAAACCTCCCCTAAGGTTTCTGATATTAGCATACACCTCCTTTGTGGTTTAGAAAATAGCACTTACCACCCTTGAACTTAAAGTTTGTGTTACAGATTTAGTCCATGCCAGAAAAGTTACCATTAAATTTTTTTTTTTAAGGAGTGAGATGAGAATTTTGTACCAGATTTGCCCCTCATGCTACTTGCCAAGTTATATTAACAGAGGAATGACAAAATATAAAAAACTATTAAGATTTAGCAAAATTCAATGGGTGTTAGTGCAATTGAATGAAATTTAACAACAATACATGAAGCAACGATGGATACTAACGGCTAGTTAAATGACTATATATCTAGATTCTTGCAGCAAAGTTTATAAAGAATACATATCACTTTTAAAATTCTCTATTAGTAATATGAATAGTTATTTGTAGGGGTAACACAACTGCTTATGTTGTTAGAACCAATCATTTACAAAAAATATCGCTAAACAATCAGCTAATTAACAACATATTTAAGCATCACTAAAAGTTACTAAATATGAGATAAGCCTAGTTACAAGTAATTAAAAGTGCATACTAATAAGATAAAGTTGTTTTTAGTAAATAAAAATTGCAGCAAGTGTATTAAAACTATGTACTAAAACTACTGCTGCTGCTGATATTCTAGATTACTGGGTTATAACTGTATTAATGAAAAGAGATATATCAACTTGAGAAGTAGTAGTAGGTTGAACTAGAGGAGGTTTTGGAATAGAAATGACTTGAGCAGATATATTTGTGCAAGTTTTCTTTATACTTACTTCAGTAGAAACTTTAGAATTGCTTATTAGGCTTCCTCTCTGCAATTATATAAAATTAGATTTAAATTGACTAATTTGAAAAACATAATATAAAAACATATGTCTTTTTCTCCCCTCAATTGGCACCATTTCTTAGTTTTGCTTACAATGGTTAAGGATGCTTAAACTTACAAGTAATCTAGTTTAATTAGTCACTCAATTTGTTGACAAAAAATAATTTTTCTTTTCTAAAATTCTTTCATTAAGTTTCTGCAATTAGTTAGGGTATAAAAGTAAAATCATACAATTTATTGTTAGTAATAGGCCCAATTTCCCCCTAGGGGAGGTCAGTGCAAGTTTAAAAATTATAGGGGAGGTGAGTGCTAGTATCAAAAACCTCAGGGGAGGTTTCTGCAATTATCCCTTGATAGTAATCGCAAAGGAGAAGCGAAAGAAGCGAAAAAGGGTAAGGTGATTTTGTTGATACTTAATTACTAATAAATACAGTGAATAAGAAGAAAAGGAAAAGTGAAAAAAAGGAGTAGGAGCAGTTAGAAGCAGAAGAAAGGCAGATGGAAGTGGCAGCAGCAGTGGAGAAGAAAGAATCGGAGACTAACAACAGCTCCTCCGACCTCAGCCGTTTAGCATCGTCGGATGCCGACAGCAAAGACAAAGAAGCACAAGACCGCGAACAACGCATTGCTCTTGATCTCAAAGCCGGTCTCCACCCTCTCAAGGTCCTCTTCTCTTCTTCTTCCTTTTCTTTTTGCTTAATTTCTTTCCTTCTTTTATTCCCTTTCGATTAGGTTTTACGAGACCGCTTGCGTGCTTCTCCCGTAGGGATTGATTTGAACCTAGAATTGAGTAACTTTTTGTTTCCTGCTCTTTTGTTTTTGTGGATTTTTTTTTTTGGCTGATAAACACGCCAATCATTTTTCAGTTGACCTAAAATGCTTGCAACCTCTTTCATGATGGATGTTTAGGGTATGCTTCTCTTGAAGGAGGAGTTAAAGGATTGAAAATGTGTGGAAAAGCACCGTTTTAGGTTTCATTTAGTTGTTTGTTTCGAGGCAACATTTTATTAATACCAACTCAATTAAGAGATTAATGTAGATGTTGCTAAGTAGTCAAATCCAGGAATCTCAAATGACGGCCTTTTTGTTGGTGATATTGGATTGTTTTGTTCCAGCATCACTGAGACAAACATTTATGAAGATCCAAAATTCATCAGAACTCCACGCACCATCTCTCAGCTACTCAAGCTTTCATAACTTTCTTCCCTCCTCCTTTCATGTCAAGAACTCGAATGATCACATCCGTTTCCCCTGTTCTCTTTTTTAGTCTACATATTGTTTCTTCGTCCAATTTATTCAACTCTAGCACTTGACAGATTTGGTCCTCATGCCTTCTCTCCTGAGTCCACCCTTTTCTACTCAAGGATGCAGGACACAATGACACAAGTATAGAGACTGCAGCGCTTTAGATTTTTTTGTGTTTTTAATTCTGGAAACTTACACCAATTATGTGCTCATTCTGTATTTGTCTTTTGTTGTTGTATGGTTTTCACTTATCTTTTGCAACTTTGACTGCATAGAGTGCTACACTTATGAAAGCACTAAGTTTCCAATGATGCAATGTGATGTACTGGCTTTTACAAATCTTCTGAAGAAGTGGAAATAGAACTAACATGAACGTTTTTCTTTTGATAGGAAAACTATGGTAAAATCAAAACATGGCCACTTCATGTTGCTTTTGTTGCTTGGTGAAAGATCTTTCTATCTTTTGCACGAGGCATTTAAACCTTTCACTTGTGAGTAGTGCATTTGTGGCTGTTAAATTCTTGAGCGGGAGTCAAAAAGGCTGATAGAATTACTTTTGAAAAGAGAATAGCAAAAGGAAATAAAATAGCCTGATTAGGTGCAGCAATATTGAAATCAAACTTGGTTCTATTGTTGTGAATCAGCTTCACCTGACTCTCCAGAAGTCACTGCTTCCATTTATTTTGAGTTTAAATGCTGGGGATTAAATTCTTGTTCTGCTTATTCTAGAAGTTAAGTTCAATCAAGGATCTATTTTTCGGAGGGAAGAAAGGGTGTCAGTGGGATTTGTTAGAAGGGAAAGACTGAGAGAGCATGATGGTTTTCCATATTTTCTAATATTTAGTGTGTGGAAGTAAGAATGGAATATTTGGGTGAAATCTTTGTCAAGTTTCTTCTGCCCTTGCTTGATACTTCTCAACTTTGCTGATAATCATCTTTCATTCTTTGATTCTCTTAAGTTCTCTTAAAAGAGCCTTCCTGCCTCGCTTCTTCCTAACAGCAAATCCACTCCTCATCTAGGGCTCTCACCCCTAAGAAATTCCGAAACTGTTTTAAAGTTTGATTTCCTTGTCGATTATATGCATTTTCATTATAACATGAACTGGAATTGTGTTAGATATGTTGTAGTATGTTTCATTTCATCATTCTTTTCAACCACTGTAAATGGGTGGTAGTAGCTCTTTTATGATAAATCAAGTTGTACATTAAGTGTTACATATTTACATTCTTCTAATCTTTCTCTTCGCGCCTATCCAACCCTTAATTTATCTCATGATTTGTCTGTTGTCTGATGGATTTAGTTATTTATCAGTTTCATCAAATTTTAGAAAGTTCTGCATCTTATTTGATGTTTTAAGCCATTTGGAGGCCCTTTTAATCCTGCTGCTGTACTTTCTATTGATTATGACTATTTTTTGATATTACTTGATTTTGTGAATATCATGTATGTAGTAGTGTAGGCTCAAGTTTGGAGGGATCTTGTCTCGTACTATTGAATCTCTGTAAATCCTCATATTATACTGGCCGATTTTTGCTGTTTCTATGATAAAGTTGTTAGCGTTATTATACTTCTCTGTATAGTTTCACTTACATTTATACAATGTGACAATCAGCACAAATTCGTTTTTTGGTATACTCGAAGGACACCTGGAGTTCGCACTCAAGCATCATATGAAGACAACATAAAAAAGATTGTGGATTTCAGTACTGTAAGTTGCAACTCTTCCCCCTTTCTCACCCCCTCTCCAAAGAAAATAAGAAACCCTTTTATGCTGCATAACATTGTTATGCTCAGCAATCAGTTTTTCCTAGGCAGAAACTTCAATGTTGTTTTTTCCATTATTCTTCCATTTAAAATGCACTGCTTGTAGGTTGAGGGTTTCTGGGTCTGCTATTGCCACCTGGCACGCCCATCATCATTACCAAGCCCAACTGATTTACATCTTTTCAAGGAGGGTATTCGACCTTTGTGGGAGGTAAAATTTGCACTGCTTTCCCTTTTGCCTTATCTTTTTCTTGTTGGCATATTCTCAATCTTAAATTTTTTAATCCTTTTTTCCTTTTTTTTGGGGGACCGGATGAATTGTACTACGTTCAATAGGATTCTGCTAATTGTAATGGTGGAAAGTGGATTATCAGATTCAAGAAAGCTGTCTCGGGCCGCTTTTGGGAAGATTTGGTAAGCCAATGTTGCTCAGTATGGTTATGCTTTCTCCACCCTGCTTTCTTTTTTCCTCAATATTCTTCTTGCAGATGCATGATGATATTCGTACTGCATATTAGTTTTAGGTATATTTAATTATGTCCAGATGGCTAGTTTTTTGAAATGGTGGCTGACATCACTAAATGATTATTAGAACTGTAAGACATGATGGATGGTGTAAAGTTGTGGACCTTCTTGCTCACATTATGTTAAACTCACCATTGCCTATTGTCTATATGACTAAAATTGCTTGTAAATAGATCCTTTTCAGTTTGGATATCTTGGCTTGTGTTCATGCTATTGTTTTTAGCTTCATGTTGTATTATACTAATTGGACTTGCTTCTACATGCAATGTCAACTTAAAAGCTGCAGTCCTTTATTGGTAGTTGCATTGCTTGATTTCCATTGTAAGTCTAATTGTAAGTATTCTTTTTCTGATTACACGTATTAAGTGGCTGGCAGTTGCTTTGGAATGACCACTTTTGTGATACCAATTCCTTGTCATCCAATATTATTTATTCAGTCTTGACTGCAACATCGTCTATGTACTTGTTTCAGTTGTCTTTTACCATGCCTGTTACCTGGGCATAATCTCAGATTATGATGGCCTGTATGCCTTTTTGTAGTTTAGTTGCATTTCAGTTGTATGATACCAATTTATCGTTATTCTGCTTAATTATTGAGCTGATTGCGACACTTTTTGCCTTTGTTTCTGTTGTGGTATTTTGCTCTTAATTTCTGGGTAGTGATGCTTTGAGATATCGTCTGTTCGCTTTTCTTCATTATGAGTCACGCATCTGGCATAATTTTTTTTTCTTTTTTTTAATTATATTTTTTAGACTTTTTCGGATCACAGTATTTACTATCTTCATGTATTGGTTATTTTCCAATAGAGTAGTCAAGTAAATCATAATAGCTATTGAAAATTGATCAGTTTAACTACTTTGAATAATTTTGTCTATTGTTTTGTGAGACTCCATGACTCATGATCAAGGTCCATTGGCCATGATGTCAGGCATTCGTGGTTTTAAATCTTGTTTAGCACTCTTTTTTTATTAAAAAAAAAAAAACTTTTAGCACTTTCTTTTTTTAGAAACCTTTCCAGTATTGATCACTAAGTGTTGTAAATGTACATTAGTTTAGGAAAAGTTGCATATTATGATTGACAAGGCTGTTTCCTCATTTCTTTCACTTGGCCTTTTTAATTGTCTAGTTTGCCAGCCTGTTTTTGTTGGACAAATGATAGTATTCTGGAATACAACAATGCAACACTGGACGGAATTGTGATCTATTATGACTGTTAGCAGTGTAGCAAGTAGTTAATTAATATTCTGTGTAAAAATGCTTGCAGGTTTTGGCATTAGTTGGTGATCAGCTTGATTATGGTGATAATATCTGTGGTGCTGTACTAAGCATTCGTTTCAATGAGGACATATTGAGTCTGTGGAACCGTAATGCGTCTGATCACCAGGTCAGCTTTAGCTTCTGCATCTCTGGAAACCCATCTCTTTTGTAATTAAGCTCGACTGATATGACCTGATTTAGCATTGGTCTCATAATTGGATTCTTGTGTTGTCTTTAGGCTGTGATGTCCCTGAGAGATGCAATTAAACGACATTTGAAGCTTCCGCTCAGCTATGTAATGGAATACAAACCGCATGATGCATCTCTACGTGACAATTCATCATACCGGAACACGTGGCTGAGGGGATAGGGAAGAACCAAGAAGCTTCGAACTTTGCAACTGAACGTGCAGGACTGAAGTTGCACCTGTCTGGAAGCTATTTCAGTGCATCTGCGATTTGGTTTTGGGTTGTAATCGTTGATTACGTTGGAGAGATGATAACAGGGTGGATTGCTGTGTAAACTCGGAATTTGCTCTGTTGGTTTTTCACCCGACACCTAGAAGTCTGTCGATTTTCGTTTCATTTCAAAACGAGGATGTTTTACTAACTCATGTTTAAAGTAGAGTTCAATAGCTTTGAAATTGTATGGTAGCATTAAAATGCTTGGTTTTAATTAAAAAAAAAAAAAAAAAAGAGGAAGGAACCGGCATGAAGGTTGCTCGTTTGTGCTTGCGACAGTTGCGTGTCTGTTAACTTAAACGAAGGGCAGGGCTGTCTCGCGGTTGTGGTTTTACTTTTTAGGTCCTTTATTCTGAGCAGTGTGCATACGCATGCGATGTCGAAATCGGAGGGAGGTCCGTTGGTCGCGCCACCGAAATAAATGAGGTGATTGTGATGGCCTGATGGGGGAACTGGAAATATTTGGGTCTCTTGCTAGTTCTTCTTCGTAGCGGGAAAACTTTAATGTATAAAATGCATGAGCGGGGAGCGCGTACGCAACACGAATTAAAGATGGAAATGATCAACGTGTTTACTCTCATTATTAATCAAAACAAAACAATCTTCATAATTAGCTTCTTTACATCATTCATTCGTGAACAAATTAAACATGTCACCAACTTGGTGATATAGCACAATAAAAGTCTCTGAAATGCAAAATTATTTGTTCAGAGATTTTCTATCTATCGTCGTTTTAATAATGTTGGGTTTATAAAGAAGGTGAAAATAATAATAATATGTTGGCCACCAGGATTTTGTCCCTCATTGGATGTAGGTGAGGGGTTTTAGGATTTTCTGGAACATTTTTTATTTTATCCCTCCTTGAATGTAAGTAACGGGTTTCGAGATTTTCTGAAACATTTTCACAGACAGTTTAATTCCCTCTAAACTTTCAATAGTTTTGTTGGATCTACACCCCTTCCCTTCCCCCCCCCCCCCTCTCCCACCCACAATAAAGGATGAATTGTAATACATAAATAAAAAAAGCGAATGTTGTATTACAGAAGTCAACAAGACAAAAAGGTCTCTACCTACTTTAGACAATTTTTTTTTTTAAAAAAAAAGGAATGTTTTGCATAAGCGCATTAACAGAAAAATGATTGTGTTGATAATTAAAAAAAAAATCTAAAATACTTACCTTCATGCTTTTGTCGAATAACCATTCATCTAAATGACTATAAAACTAAATAAATACTCATTAGAAGACTAATCTAATGTAGTGATTTTATTTATTGGAAATAAAACGACCACCTTATAGTTACGGGAGGTGCAAGTTATTTCAAGCACCATTAAAAAAAGGGCTAATTACAGTTTACCTCCTTGAATTTGATCTTTTATAACATTTTATTCCCCTAAACTTTAAATATATACACTTTGCCCCCTTCATTGACTAGCCAAACGTTAATGATGAATTCTCTATCCAAAATTTTAACAAAATGACATTAATGCTCTTACAGAATAGTTTTAAAATAATGCTATACTTTTAATTGGAATATGAAACATTTGATTAGAAAAAACATAAAGTCGTATGATTTAAAAAATAAAAAATGGTATAATACCAAAGAATTGAAAATTTGTACTGTGGAGAAAAAAATTTAAAAATTTCAAAAACATGTGCACAAATTTTCCATCGCTTATCTTTCTTCCTTTAAATTATAAACGGATTAATTTCGATAATTTTCATTTTTTTTTTGCAACTGTCACAAAATTTTCATAGTCAATAAGATGTTATTTGATAATTTTCTATCACATTCATGCCTTGCTTTGTATTTTGTTTGCATTCTACATTTCAAAAAAACTGAAAATTCTCTAATACATTTTTATTTTTAATCATATTTTTATTTCATATAAAACGCATTAAAAAGTGATACAATAAAAAATATAAGCAAATAATTTTCATTTCAAATGTACTAATTAATTTTATTTCATTTAAAATAACTATTATTATCGACATTGAAATAAATACATTGAGTTACTTAGACTTCTTTGTTGTGAATTATCTAATTCATTTTAAGGTTAAAAAATCGAAATGCATAGTGCAATTGTATTTAGATGTATTTAACAACTGTTAAAGAAATAAGCATTTGTAATGCTACAATTATTACGTATGTTTAAGAATTAGTCAGGGATATTTTAGGCATAAAAATATAAATTCATCTTAACCTTTAAGAAGTTGACCTAGGGAGTAAAATGTTATATATTTGGAGTTTGGGGGTTAAAGTGTTACAAGTGCAAGAGGGCAAGGAGTAATTAACCCAAAAAGAAGATAGTACTAGTGGCAGAAGCACAGGTGAGAGAGTGAGGAATAGACGGCTGCTCCCTTACCACTAACAGTCTAACACTGCAATTCTCAGACCAGTACATCCCTCGCGTATATCACCCGTCCTTCCTCCATGGCTCCGTGCTCGCCCTCCCTCTGACCCTTTCCTCCCAAAAACGACTCGTCCTCTCTCTGCTCGTGTTAGGCATCTCTGCTACTTTGGAGTAAGATTCGAACTTCTGCTATCTCCATGGCTACTTTAGTTTATCGAAATAGATGGAACAGTAGATCTTTCTTCGCTCTCAAAATTTCAGAAAACATTACACACCTGTTGTTGTTGTTGTTGTTTTTTTTTTTTTTGGCTCTCAAAATTTCCATGAATGATCGCCTGTTGTTTTGACAAACTATCCTGGACATAGCTGCTGGAGTTCTTTTTTTTTTTTTTTGGGTTATCTCACATCTTTATATCTTTGTAGGCTTTGGGTGGCAATGATGAGGAATATAATCAGTCACGTTGTTGCTTGGGTATTGCTGTATTCTCTGGCAGTATTGCCCGTAGGACTAGCCTTTTATGTCCAGGATAGTTTCGTTTCATATCACCGTTTCATTGGCTTCATCTTGCTGATAGTCACGGGGAGTTCGATTATGTTTCTGTCGCTGATGGCTTTGCTGTCTGAGCGCATAAGAGAATTCATTCACTGGGTCAGACAAAAGAGGCTTCCGTGCATGATAGCTGGGATGACCATATACGCATTCAACAACACTGTTGTGTCCGGAGACGCGACCACCGTCGTCTGGCTATCATGCTTGTTATTGTCTGTTTTGAGTTTTCTGACACTGTTTTCAGCTGCTGCAGATCTTCATCTAGTGTTGGACGTGGTCTCAGCTGCATGCGGTTCTGCTGCGCTTGAGCTGGGACTGAAGCATGAGCATCCACTGCAGGCATTGTGTGCTGTTATTCTCTTTATCCTGTGTGAAACTGTGATTGTACGTCGTTATCTTCTTAGGAAAGTTTCCGGTTATAACTGCTAACTTATTGTATGGTCTCATTGATAATATGATGGTTACTTTATCCACGTCCTTCCATCTGGGATTTCAATTTAAGGTTCCATCGAAAAAGGTCTTACTTTCCTTACTTTTGGGTTTTGTTATTGAAGTCCAATCATGACTACTCTTTTCTTGGCATCATCAATAGGGTCTTGGTGCTGATCCAGAGACGTTTAGAAGATGTTTGAGATGGCCTATTGAGGCAGCAGGTTACATGCGTCCCTCGTGGCAAGCTGTGCTGGGGAGGGACTATATGCAGGAGGAGGTCATTGATCAGAGCGAAGATTACACCGTCTATAAACAGTTAAGTTAGACTCAGTGTGGTCATGTATATATACTCGTGTCTTCTGCCGATCGCATAATCAATCAAGAGTGATTAGGTCGTGACCAATTAAACTTGCTGAAGTAGTTAGTTAGTACTACAATTTTGAATGACTTTTAGCAGCCGTTACCCACTGATTAATGGTGTTAATCTTAGAAGACAGTGCAGTAATGTGGGCTTCCCTATGTTTTGTTTTAAAATTTTCTGACTGAAATGTTGGGAGTTATTATGAAAGAATTGGTTGCAATCTGTCTTGAAATCATGTATTAGATCAGACGCTTCCGTAGTGTTTTACCCCTTTTTTTTTGGGGTCATGTAGACTCTGTGGGACTTGTTCTGTTTCTGTTTTTTGGTCAATTTGGTATCACCATAGCCTGGAAATGGATGGGTCACAATATTATTACGAGTTTGTGTCAGGAATGGAAGGACTTAAGTGTAATTAGTGAAAATTAAATACCTATATCTGTTTCTGTTAGGTTGGTTACTCAGGTGGTTAGAACTAATGATGTCAGCAGCTCAGTTAGTTAGTAGACGGTTAGCTAGCTAATCTCCTTATAAGGAGCTCAGTACACGAGATGAGCATTATTAGCAGAATAACAAATTGATTCTTATTTCTCCCCCAATTTCTTCTCACTTTACTCTTCTTCCTCATTTCTTATTCTTCCTAAATTCCTTCCTCTCTTCCCTGCGCCTACGACATCTCAGTCTCAGGAATTCTACTTGAATTCCTGACAAGTGGTATCAGAGCTGCGAATCCTCGGATTATTGCAGCTCATCACAATGGCAGAAGGCACCCGCTTCAAGAATATGGAAGATCAACTACGGAAACAAGAAGTTCGATTGCAGGAAGCTCTGCAATCAATCCTCTCTCTTCAGCAAAACCAGCAGGAAGTTCAACAGCAGCTGCGAGGGGAAATGGAGAACTCCAACAAGGAAATGAGAACAATGATCGGCGGCATGGACCAGAAACTCAATGCCTTGGTTCAGATCATGGCCAGAGAAAGGAATGGAGAAAGGGAGGAAGCAACTCAACTAGAGAAAACCCCCATTCTACCCACGCCGCCACCACACACGAAGCTCCAACCGGAGTTTGGCACCAGTCAATGCTCAAGAGTCAAACCTCCCAAGGTATTTTTACCCAATCCACCAAGGATCGAATTGCCTTTGTTCGCCGGAGAGAATCCACGCATCTGGCTTCGCAAGTGTCAGAAGTACTTCATAACTTACCAAATTCCACCAGAGCAGCAGATGGAGGTAGTCGAAATGTTCCTTGACAATAAGGCAGATGTATGGTACCAAGGCATCAAGGTAGAATTTCCAGATTTGTCATGGCAGCAATTTGCCAACATGCTCAGCGAGAGATTTGCAGAAAAAGGCACGCGCGATGTGGTGGAGGATTTCAATAAGTTGCAACAATCCGGAACTGTGGAGGATTACCAAGAAAAGTTTGAAGAATTGAAATCACTAATGCTGGTAAAGAATCCTCACCTTTCTGAATCATACTTTGTTTCAAGTTTTATTAGTGGATTGCGA